GGTGTTTATCTTGACAACAGTGTTTATCTCAACATCAGTGTTTATCTCGACACCGGTGTCGAGATCGACACCGGTGTCGAGATCAACACCGGTGTCGGTGTCGACGTCGATGGTGCCGTTTGTTTGTTTTTTTTTAGTTTTTTAATGTAATATTTTTTAGTTTATTTTACAGCTACGAATTTTTGTTTCTTTATGTTTTGTTTTCTTTTCTATTTGTGTTTGATTAAACAATTTTTTACTTTATAGTTGTTTATCTGACGCTTCCACTTTATTTTAGTGATTAGTCTGGCAAAAAAATTATATTTAAGTTTGAAAGCTTTAAGTTAAAGTTGGTGCGCTTTAATAAACGATAAAAATTTTTACACCGATACATTTTTTTTTTAAACATTTGGCGATAGTCCCAAATCTTTAGTATGTCGCACAGTTTGCTGATGTATTAAGCCATTGACGGATATCACTAGAGGTAAGATTTTTGTTTGTTTTAATTTGTATAACTGTCTAAGTTCATATGCCAGTTCTTCGTATTTTTGTTTCTTTTCTAGATATGCTTTTTGGACGTTTTCGTCTAATGGTGTTATAAAATCTATTATTGTGGCTTCCTCCTCTTTCTTCTTAAAAAGCACCATATCAGGGCGATTATGCTGGACAGATCGGTCTGTAATAATTGTGATGTTCCAGTATAATTTATATTCAGCATTCTCCAGAATATCCTTTGGGTTATACTTGTACCATTCTATTCCTTCCTCCATTAGCCCAGTTCCCAGTGCTATAGCTTGATGGTATATTTTTCCCATTTCATCATGGCGTGCCAGATACTGCCTTGGAGCCAAAATAGAACACCCTGCTGTTATATGTTGGATGCTCTCAGCTGTACGCTGGATGCTCTCAACTCTCTCCTTCAAGACATATTTCCTATAGTTCAGTGTCGGGACAACTTGATCTTGTATTGCCAGTATACTTCCTTCGGTTTCTGGGAACAGGTAACCCGCTTTTAGGTAAGTATTTGAATCCAGCATACTAATTGTGGTATTTTTTAAATTTGCTCTATACCTGCCATGGAGAGTTTTACTGGCCCACTCTTCTTCCATTTCCGTCCAACTTCGTACAGTTGGGCTGTTGGGGTTCATCAAGTCAAGAGGGGAATAGTTTTGGTCAATATCTCGGAGGGTACGGTGAAGCGGTAAGTTGTTACTCAAGAAGTAGTTCCTCAGTTTCATTATTATTATCAGGTTTATTTTGAACTTATTAATTAACATTATTTCTTCTTTAACCCGTTTACCAAACACCTGTGTCGTAGTCAAAACCGGTATCGAGATGAACACCGGTGTCGAGTTGAACACCGGTATCGAAATGAACACCGATGTCGGTGTCAACACCGGTGTCGGTGTCGACACCGGAACACTGGATAGCCTATATTTGGCCACCGGTGTCAGCCCAACACCGGTGTTAATACGGTGTTCCGGTGTTTGGAACAGGCCTACAAAGATCTAGCCAACCAAGCGTAACAGTTAGTTTTCCGTCACTAGAGTAGCAGGAACAAAGAACTTGAAGGAATTGGACCGTTGTCTCTGCTCATACTATCTTTACATTTATTAATTCTGATGCTTTCATATGCATCTAATTGCCTGTAATTTGAGACTTGTTAAATTAATTTTAAATTATTAAGATCTATACAATGTTCTTTATCAACAATATGTTCAGCAACGCAAGATTTATCCGGTCTACCATATCTTATCTGAGCTAAATGTTCTTTAAATCTAGTTAATATTGATGTTCTAGTTTGCCCAACATATTTCTGATTACAATCTTTACAAGAAATTTCATAAATACCCGACCTTTCCAGTGGAGGTGTTTTATCCTTTGGATTACCCAATAATTGTTGTAGTTTATTATTAACACTATAAACAAGTTTATAATTGGCATTCTTAAAAATTCCTTTTAGACCACGGGATAACTCTCTATTATTGTAGTTTAGTTTAATCATCTGCTGATGATGCTAACATGGTTAGTGAAACGCGCGTCCAGTGTAAAAGTAAAAGTGTTTTGGTGTATTGTGGTGATTTAGTGTTTTATTTTGCTGTGTAACACCAAAGGTTCAACCCCCAACTTTAATCTGAAAATGCTATTTAGATGGGCAAGAGTGGTCTTGACTAAGACCTAGCATGCAAGACTCTTTCAGTCTTCTTCTTTACGCACGTTGGGAGTAAAAATTCAAGTGCGTGACACACGAGCTAGCGTCAGAAAAAGTGGTAGCGGCAGTGTTGCCACAGCTACCCCATTCGGGGTACATCTACCCATTTGTAAAACCATTTTAACTCGCTCTGGGTAACGATCTGTGCCAAACGTGGCTAAGAAAGTCACTATAATAAATAAATTTTCTTTTCTTAAATAAATTTAAGCGTTAGTATTATTAAATATTTGAATAAAAGTGTGTATTTTGAGTGGTATTTCACAAAATTTGCAGGCTATTGAGGAAGCAGAAAGTGTACAGATTACAGAAATAAACTGATTATATTATTTATATTAAAACAGCAATAATTAATGTCAGTTTTTCAAACATGTCCTTCAAATCCTTCAATTTAATATCTGTTAGTAAGAACTTTCACTTCAAATATGCGTACATAGTGCACACACTGTTTTTTTTTAAATGGTGTAGTTTAAGATTCGAGAAAAGACTATTTTTGGAAATATAGATTTATGTGTCTGGAAACGTTCTATCCTTTTTTATGTCTATTTTTAGTATATGGCGTCTAGAGATTGACCTCGCCAAAATTATCATCGATTGTTATTCCCCACCTGTCTATGACGCCGTTTTTTTTTTTCGATCATACGGTGTATCTTTACATTTTGATAAATCTGATATTCTTCAGATTGTTTGAGGAATATTTTTTTTGTATAATAAGTAAAACAGTTTTTTGCCACGATATATGATAAAATTTCATGAGAAAAATCACAGAATAAATAATAATACAGATATTATAAAGAAAAACTATAATTCGCGATAAAAAATAAAAATAAGTTCTTAATTTTATTGTTGATATCTAGTCAGCAGTTATCTATTGTTATTATTATTAGAACAATTACATTTTCTATGGTTTAATAATGCCAAAACCACAAATCTCATATTTTTCAATGTCACCAGCCGAATCCTTGACGACATTTGTTCAAAAATCTTTTGATACCGCGCGGTTTTCCTTTGCAGGAAACCATACCGACCTCAATACATCTCCGTCTTCTTCCAACGCGTGACGTAAGACAAAGCAAACCGGATGCCGGTATCGATCTTCACGAAAAGGGAAAGTGTATTCGATTATTGATGTCATTTCCTTCCTCGCCGCTGTTGCCGGATCTGACAAAACTTCACCAGATTTGACGAAATTAAATTACATCATATAAAAAGAGTCTGGTTAAAGGATTATTTATAATAACAGTTATTAATTCTAAGAATTAACTAATTATATTTTTTTCTCTGGCATTTTTGCTTTTATTTACAACTTATCAAAAAAATAATTTGTTAATTTTTAATTATTATTTTCATTGAATCAGGTTTTTGAAAAAATTGCAAATTGGCGGTGGCAAGTTGATTTCGCTCTTAAAAATTAACGAAGGAATGTGTTGACATGGTTCTGACCAAAAAATAATATTTTAGGAAAATTTACTCTTGAAATGATTGCACAGGGTGTTTTAAAGTTAGGGTAAAAAACAAATCTTCAATTAACCCTGTATAATAAGCCAAATGCTAAAGTTTATAAAAAACTGGGTTTATGAATTAAAGTTGATGGATTTATATACAGTTCGCCAAAAAAATCATGAACATAGAAATAAAAATAAAAAATAAATATAACACTTTAAACTTTTTAAACGAAAAAATTCTCCGTTGCGGTTTCTTTGCATCTTGCATCTGAGTGTATAAAATTTCGATATTTTCTGATAGACATGACAACACTGTACAAACCGCATCCATTTACAGACAATCTAATTATAATTTAAGTTAATTTATTTTAGATTACATAGATATTTCGAAAATTTCACAAATTATTTAATTTATTTTTAATACTCTAAAGACTACATACCTACATAATTTTAAAAATGAGTCATTTTGTGAATCAAATTTTGAGAAAACTAATAAACGTATCTGACTAATCCACTGCCTATTATATTATAATAAAATAATTACACTTATAAAATATGCAAGAAATAATAAAATTTTGTTTAGTAACCAAAATCAGGGCAATTTTTTGATATGGCAACATTGTTTTCTTTATTCCTCTTTCTTACAGAAAACAAAAACCTTATGTAAATTATATAATTTGTAAATATTATAAATATAATACTTTACATATTAGCAGTAAATACTCCATACAAAATAAAATAATAATAAATTGGACTATAATATTAAAAATGACTCAGTCTTTTGAATCAATGCTAAAAAAATCATCTCTGACTAATTCTCTTTTATTATACCATAATAAACCATTGTTTACAGGAAAAATATCTTTTTATTGAATTAAAATACCTCGAAAAATACGCCAATGTCCGCCAATGGAGTTAAATTCACCCCCTTTTTGACATAGCCATAGCGAAAATAAATATCTAGCACTCAGTTTCAGGATTATTGATCGCGATTTTAAGAAAACTGAAAGGGTGGTTAAAGGAAAACCTCCCAAAACAGACTAAAAACTAAAAAATCATTGATTATGTCAAACGTAAACAATCAAAATACACCCTTGCAGTAAAATGGCCCTTAACACCCCAGAAAATCGATAGAAAATCTGCTGAAAGGCTAAAGAAAATTCCCCAGAGCTGGTGATATCAGATTTCCACACCATTTCCAAGGAATTTTCTGTAAATCGGATGTATTACAGCAATGGGACTAGATTAAAAATAACCATACAAACGCAGATGACTGGTTTTTGTCGTATTTAACAGAGATTTAGCGCATTTTCGCCAAAAAAACACGGTGGAAATGGATGGAATAGTGTAGAAAAGTGTTACAGTACCTTTTTCAGTTATCCACGGCTCACATATCTAGAAAAACAGATAAATTTTCACGAAAATTGAGTTATATTCACGCCCAAATCACTACAACACTTCGACTGCTAGGAACCGGCCACGTTGCCGGCTCGACTGAAAAGTTTTTCAGCGCTCAGAGAAAACGAAATTTAATTTTAAGTTTTATTTGGATAAACATGATCCTTTATAAGTTTTATTTATTTGTAACAAATAAAAACCAACTTATGTGCATTATTAAATTCAAAAAAAATATTTTTAAGTGTATTTTAACAAGTAACATATTTCTGTGTGGATAATATGTCAACAAATTATTTAAGATTTTAGATTCTGTAAACATTATTAGATATAAATATATAAATACTCTCAGTAAGACATAAACAAATAAAAAATATATTAATTATCTCTAATTTTTGTAAAATCTTAATCAGTCTTGCTATCTAAAAATAATATATCTAATCTAACATCACAAATACAATGCAAACATTCCTGTAATATAGTTTTTTTAATTATTTTGTTGTTATAAATAAAAGAGTAAAAATTGTACGATTTCTGTGGCGATGGGTTTTGTCTTTATTAAATTTCTTGAAATTTTGGTAGGTAATAGTGCTGCCGGCACCGTCGCGATGAGCGTGGCGTCAGCTGGTGTTAAGTTTCGTAACTGAATGGAATCAGAGGCGTGTCGGCAAACGGGTCTAAAACTATATAGAATTAAATAATATAAAAAATATTTTAACTGATTGTTTGGGCTTTTATAAAAAACACAAAATATTATAATAATAATTATAATTAAATTATAATGATTATTACAATAATTTTTTTACTCAAATGTAAAATCAATGATTTTTTGACATGACATTATTTAATTTAGTCCTTTTACAGGGTGGACCGAATTGTATTCGGAAAACTTCGGCAGCATATTCTGTAGATAAAAATAAGTAAAACAGTTCGTATAAATAATGTATGTCTTCAAATGCTTTCTATCGGAGATATAAGGTGTAGAAGTTTCATTTATATATATGTTTGTTTGGGAGTTTTTTGACATGAGAAATTTGATTTTTTCACTCAGTAGTTTTATACAGGTACGGACGAAAAGTTATTACTCTTCAAATCAGTTAAAACATATGTAAGTTGCGCTCTCTACAAGTAGGAGTCAAATTGACATCAAAATTAAATTTCTCATGTCAAAAAACTCCCAAACACCAATTTTCATCCAAATGTTGACGTTACTTCATAAATTATTTGGAAAAAATCGAAATAAAAATGAAATTTCTACATCCTGTATCTCCAAAACTAACTATTTTAGGACATACATTTATACGAACTTTTTTATTTATCTTTATGTGTAATTATACCAAAAAATATGTCGATTTCAAAACAAAATAAACATTTTTAGATCGCACAGTTCTTGTTCTTGTGCTCTTCTTCTGTTACTTTATCGCCTATAGTGATGCCTTTTTTATTTGACCAAAAGGTTCAGTTTTAATCATAGCAACAATCTACAGTATCTCAAACCAAATAAAGAGACGCTACTGAGCATAAAAAATCAGGCAATTTTGCCCGTACTTAGGTAAATCACATTTATCTCCCGTGTTTACAAAACAACCTAATTTAATGCAAAATAAACTGATAACAATTTCGACGCTACTGAGAATACTCAAAATTCGAAGTACGATAAAATGATAAAAGAGAAACCCACTCAAACTTAATGATATTATAATTATTGACAACTAAATGCATTTTAAAATAATTTGAACGAGTGCATTTTATATAGATTTGACATAAATGTTATTATTACACTAGGTGTAGTGTGTTTTTTCTTTAAATTTTATATTGCAGTTGGTATTTGAAAGCATTTCCAAATTTGGCCAAGAATTCAGCAGGTTATCGATGTTTATATTGGACAACAGTTTGAGAATTTGAAAGAAGCGTGTATAGGGCAACTCGAATAAGAATGTTTTAATAATTTTTAATTATATAACTTTGATAAAAAGATTAAGAAAGGAGCATGTGAATCAACTTAGGAGAATGCGATGGGGGATTATATACAGGGTGTCTCAGGCTGAGCGTGCACCGGACGTTTCTAGAGAACTACAATATCTAGATCGGAGATTTTTTGCACATCAATGTTATACAACGAGATCTATCGATTAAAAATATTTTCAATGTGGCGGCACTTCCGGAAATACCGGAAATTGAGAGCAACTTTCTTATTTTAAATGAGTACTCCCATTTTTTACTACATACTTAAATTCTCTGTAAAGTTTGTCTCTGTTTGTAATAACTTAAAAACGATTTATTTTAGGTATAGGATAAACAAAAAGTAACAAATTAAAAAATCTTTTCACTAGTGAAATAAAAAAAGTAGGTTTACATTTAAAAAACATATTTATGATAATTTTTTAATCTCTCAATTCCATGACAGATACGGCTAATATTATATGACATTCAAACAATTTAATTTTTGAAATAGATAGCCAAATGCCTTCTCTTTATGTCACAGTGGCTATGGTAATCACTAAATTTGACGTTTAGGCTATACATATTTTTTTGACAGGCAGTTTTTTGCCTCCAAAAATATTAAATATTTTTTTCTCAAAAACGGTTAAAATGTTAGGTACAGGCCTGGATTAAGGGGGGGGGGCTATGGGGGCTATTGCCCCAGGCCCCGTCATTGAGAGGGGCCCCCAAATTAGGAGAATTTAAAATCGAGATTCATAGAGTTAAATCGAGATTAGTTAAATGAAAATGTACATTACGAAAAATACCGATTTGTAACAAAATACGATTTTTCGTCACATATTGTTATAAATCTTCTATTTATTATAAAAGTAACTAAAACTGTATTTTAAAAACAATAAAAAAATTAAATCCAACCTGGAACACCTGCAACAGTGCAATAGAAATATATTTAGTCTTATTAAATATATTGCAACAGCCAACTTGTTATTCTCATAATGTCAAAAACAGATTCTTTTTCTTTTTTTTTTGGCGGCAAAACACTTTCCCAAAAAAATATCAAGATTGCTGCATAGACAATGGCTTGTTCTTCTTTTTAAATGTTTCTGGATGGATGGATTACCGAAAGCCGAAAGCGCTAGGGGAATTACTCAGATTAGATTAGTTATTTTTGCATAGCGCATCTATGAAGTAAGTGATTGCCAATAATAAATTTGAGAAAACAAGAACAATAATACGTTTTTGAATTGTGTAGTGTATACCAGTATTTTAAAAAATGTCATGTAGAAAATATCTTAGTGGATCTGCTAAACGTAAGGTAGGAATCAGTTTTAGCCTTATTACGCATTTACTGGATATGATCATTTATATAATAACTTTGGTATTAACAATTTAATTTACAATAACTTTCTTAAGTTTCTTCTTTTAAAAATAAGCGCATTAATATATAATAGGTACATACTTTCTCTGGGCCGCTTACAAAAGATAAAAAGACAAACTATTCCTTTTTTAAAAATAAACTTTATGAAAAATGAAAAAGAATTCCCGTATGCTCATAAAATATAAAAAATTCGAGAACTACTCCAATTTTGAAAATTGCTAAACAATACTCGTATTAATGAGAGATATTGATGTTTTAAGAGTTTTAAGCCTTATTTTAAGCAACATTTTTCAATAATATACAGTGTGTTCCGAAACTATTATGCCAAAATGTAAGGATTGGTAGATCTCGCCCAAATATTTTGAAATGGGATACTAATGGTCGGAAGAGCGTCGTTTTCAAAATAGAAGGTGTTAAACTTTTAAGAAAAAATCTATACAGGGTGGTCCACCGAAAACTTTCCACCCCGGGTTTCTTGCTTGTAAATAAATAATTCGAAAAATGCTCGGACACGTCGATTTTGTTTTTCAGGGAGAATTATTTTTTTGGTATTTGCACCCTCTTTGCTTGCACCCCTTTGACGGAGTAGCTATCACCCTTAAAATTTTAAATGGAATAGGGGGTCGAGTGATACCTTGTTTTAAAGGTCTTTTGAGTCTTTTTATATCTGTAGAGTTTGAAGTCTCTATTGCAATTCGCGTTGAATGGTACGCCACTACTTTTTAAATAAAATTAATATTATTTTTGAAATCCCCATTCAATTTACAACATATTTTATTTCTTGACTTTTTTTGTCCGACGCACCGTTTTCGCGTAAAAAAATAAAAACCATTTTCATGCATGACCAAATCGCTAAAATGTTATCATAAATTTTAATGGCAAAATTTGTAAAACGGCAAATTTAAGTTTAAAAAGATTTTTTATTTTCCAAAAACTTCTTTCTATGAACATAGTACGAACTAAAATGCCCAAAAACCTAAATTGTCGTTTTTCAAGTTTTACCATTAAAAATTTACATTACCATTTTAGCGATTTGGCCATGTATGAAAATCCGAAAATGGTTTTTATTTTTTTAAGCGAAAACGGTGCAATAATATTCAATTCAATAATATTTTGTTTAAGTACCGTAGGGTGGTATACAGTGGTGTAATAGATATTAAAAAAGATCGATTTTTTTTCTTAAAAGTTTAACACCCTGTATTTTGAAAACGACGCATTTCCGACCATCAGTTTTGGCGAGATCTACCTACCTTTAGATTTTGATACAATAGTTTCGGAACACCCTGTATTTTTAAATCTACGAAAACTTAGGGATATTTTAAATTAATTTCAGATTCAAGAAGAAAAACTAAAGAAAACTTTAAAATTGACTAAAGTAACAGACTTTTTTAGTATTTGCGAAACCCCTTTAACGTCAAATTCTGAGTTGAATAAAAATCAAGATCATGAACAACTGCCTTCCTGTTCAACTTCAAGCAATATTAGTTTAAGTGAAAATAACAGCAATGAGGAAAAAATAATCCGACCTGGGGGCCCCAAGGGTAGCCTATAGCCCCGGGCCCCCTAGGACCTTAATCCGGCACTGGTTAGGTATAGAGTGTTTAATATAAAAATTCATAAAATTTTACAGAGAATGTATGTAATAAAAAATAAGGATATCAATTTAAAACAAGAAAGTTGCTATCAACTTCTGGTAGGTATTTCGGGAAGTGCCGCCATATTAAAAATACTTTTAATAGATAGATCTCGCTGTAAAACAATGAACTGCAAAAAATCTCCGATCTAGATAC